TCATTATCATTACTTTAAACTTATTGAAGGCATGCACAAAATTTACCATAATGCTCATTCAGTCATTAAATTACCACACTAGCATTGATAGCAATACTCATCAGTGCTGCTATAGGCCATTTCATAATAGCAGTGTAGGGTTGACATGTTGGTGTTTCAATGGTGATGCAACCCTACAGGGGCTTGTTTGAATTCACTTTATACTTTCAAACCAGCAACCCTACAGGGGCTTGTTTGAATTCATTTTATAGGTTCAAATCCAAGGCTCAACCCTACACTAAATAGTTTTAAAAAATTTTTTGTTCTAGTTTCCATCCTTTTTTAATGAAAAATACTATTTTTGTTGAGCATTTAATTTTAAGCTTGGTACAATTTTGAAGAGTATTTCTTAATTTTTAGATAATCCTGAAAGTGCATCCAAGGCAGTTAAAAAGAAGCATCCTAAACTATTGAAAATAAGTAAGATAAACAATATTTGTTAAAAACAAAATTAAATCTATATTTAACAGAAATATAATTTGACGAGAGGAGTTTGAAATGTTGTATTCATTACAGGAGGCCTAAAAGAAGACAAACATGAAAGTTAAAAAATTAACTGTATTATCATGAACAAGTGTAATGGTGAAACATTTTTGCTATAATTAAGTTATAATCTGATTACAAGTCATGTTAAGAATAAAAATTTGACAGTAATGAAATGAAGGAACTTGACAGAAGTGGCATTCCATGTAAAGAATGCAGGCTAGGTTAACTTAAGTTGAATAAGGAAAAGTTATGTTATATGTCTATGAGTATGAGTCTTCAAAACTAAATTTTGAAAATTAGAATAAAGTTGTATTGCTTGTAAATTCAAGTGTCATTACATGCATAATGTACAGGAAATAAAGAAAGAATTAAATTTTAAGTATTATAACTTACCTAGGTTTATTGATGGAGCTCCAATGTGAGATAGAGAGGGACAGAGAGAAAGGGAGACACATGGATGAGGAGGGAGGAACTGAGGGAGGAAGAGAGAGAATTATGATTACGTTTATATAAATCTGACAATGTATACATGAACGTAACATCGTGAACTTGTGTGTCTTAAGGAGAGTTGGAGGCATGATTATGAAGTACATGTACATTCATTTATGGAGTTTGAATAAAATAAATAGTGAAGGTTGTGTGTAAGAGTTTGAATAAGAGTGGGTATTGGGTAGAAAATTACCAGTAGTGACAAAAATTGCTAGTACATGTACTATGCAACTGAAGCAGCAAGTTTAGTTTGTTCATGTGTATACTTAAACTGAGTGAAGAAATATGGACTCTTCAAATGCACATACAATGTACATGTACATGTACAAGAATATAAATGTAACACTTTGAGCAATAAATAAAAGTCTGCATGTCATGTAGATACAATATGAAAACTACATCTTGACATAACCAGTTCACCTGACACCAGTTGGCAGCTCTAAACTACATGTAGATGTGGAGTTACCATATGGTGGGACATTTTGAAGGGAGTTAAATTTTGGTGAATTGCTAAATTTTGGTGATTGGCAGATTTTTATTTTGGCATATGGCTATCAAAACACCAAATTGGCCAAATTTAAATCCCTCCAAATTTCCAAAATTTCCCATTATACAATATGTTTTGAAGAATTAATGAAATAAACATCACAACATTGAAGGATACAAAATATAGAAAAAAATTAAGCAAGCAAAGCGGGTTAGCATACACATACATGTACTAACATACTTGTAGAAACAGTCACAGGCTTTAAGCTGTATCCATTTTTTACTGCTGGACAGGAGCCCAATCTTAATTTTATTGACCATTTCCTGGAAATAAGCTCATGACTCCTTCCCGTTTCATATCCCCCATTTTATTAGTGGCAAAACCTGCTAAATTAATAAGATAAATAATGAATATTTTCCCCGATAAAGATCCCTCGCTAAGGCCACTATAATTACAGTATCCCATTACAAAGGTGGGCGGGCACATTTGTTTATTACTTTACTCATTATAATTAGTATAAACAACTGCAATACCGTAGGTTGTGACATATTCATGGCTACTAATATTCACAATTTGTTAGGCCACTCCAACTAAATTTGTAGTTTCTCCTTGCGACCTGCTTGCCCGTGCCAATATTTTAATTATTCGGTTAAAATATTAAAAATAATAATAACGTAAACATATGAGTCTTTCGAGGTTCTTTTCACTCTTTTTGAAAAATAACTGGGCTCTTCACCTCTCTCTAGTTTATTGATGAACAAAGAATCAGGTATAGTTGCTACTTTGTCGAAACTTTATTATTTTAATCAAAATTAACTTACCACCCACCCGCATCAGTCCCACTCGTGTAAGGAGAAACTATGAATTTAATTGGAGTGGCCTTACTGTGACCAACAATTATCATGCATGTACATGTAGATACCAGATGTAATTTGATATTAAAGCCAATCCTCCTGATGCAGTGTTATTGAGTTGTTATTACTTTTTACTAGCCCTTGGTCTTTCTGAAGCTGCTTTAATCAGTTTTCAGAACTCACCACTGTATCTTGTAACTCTCCACCCATTCCAGTTGTGGTTTGTTATCAAGACAGGCCAACCAGCAACAACTTTCAGCAAGGAGGTTGGAGGTAGAGGTTCATACGAGAAGCTAACAGAAACAGAACAAGTCGCTATTGGTGAATGGCTCCACTGAGGCTGCTAAAGAACAGAAAATTAGCTGAAGACTGTAAATACATGGTCTTGATGTCATAGCAAAGCTCTATCAGTTTCTATGTTACTTCACTATACTTTTATTACTGCAAATATTAGCAGCTCTGAATATTACCTACAGTAATGAAATAGTGCATGAGGGGGGACCATGTGGGTGGGAAATGGGTATCAATCTAATTGAAGTGGCCTAAATATAATAGTAGTAGGACACGGCCATGCATGGTCCATGGAAGCAACTCACTAATCAAGGTTTCACATACATGCACATGGACTGGTGAGGGCGTTTAAGCCCCACCATCTAACATACCCATTAGTCTCGCCCCACCCCTTCGCTTACCTCCGGAGGAAGGATCTGCAAGAGATGTCCAAAGGGACTCTATCCTCAACTTTTCTTAGCTGCAAAGCATCTGTTTCAGCTATTTTGACTTGTCTGGTCTCATCTGTCACATGATGTAGGTCAACCACGTGTTTTTCTTTGCACACATTTTAGATGGCAGTGTCTCTAGACCATTCCTCCAGCTCCACAGGTAGTGAAAGGGCGGGGCGAGACTACATATCGATAAATGTATAAAACAGACAATTTACTTTATATATTTACCTTACTTGAAGAGATTGAAGTAATGAAGAGAATGAAGGCAAATTGAAGCATAACTCAGTGATACAAAACTCTGTGGATATAAAGTAATTAATAAAATTATTAACGTTTATTAATTTACAATAATTCATCTCACTTGAAGTGAATCTTGGTGTAAGTAGATAGGGTGTTTAGGCAGGCACATGATCTTAATCTCATCATAAATCAGTCAGTAAGCAGCGAGGTAAGCAGTAACTACAAAACAAATAAAGCCATTAGGTACTAGTCTCGCGTAGCCAGACCACACCCTCCGTGCCTCCGGGAGGGTCTGGTCAACTGAGCATTCCTTCTTCGTTCTGCTTCACCCAAAACTGGGTGAACCGGATGCGGTTACTCGTGGTCAACTGACGTAATGTCGGTCCGTATACTTACACGCACACTATTGGTATCCCACGTGGAAAGTCATGGTTGCTGCTTGCTTTCTTTGTGGCGAGGAGATCGAGAGCAGGACTCAAAAGGCGAAGAAGCTCCTCTTATTTGACAGAGCAGGAAAGAAATACTTGACTGTATTAAATGATTTAACGGAAGAGAGCTTTGGTAGCCCATTATTTGGTGAAGATGAAGCAGGCAATGACAGGGATAAGACATATATTTGTCACAGCTGTTGCTCTATTGTGGACAAGCTGTTGTCACTCAGAAAAAAGGCAGAAGAAGAAAAGAGTAAAGTTTTACAGAAATTAGAGTCATTAATGAATTCAGAGCCACAGCAACAGGTTATATTAATTTCTTAATTTGACACCTGTAATAATCATAAGTTAACAACAATAGAGCACCCCAAGAACATCCA